TTATGTCTCATAAGGGACCCATTTTCACAGAAACCCTTTCCACACTCCAGGCATTTATACGGCTTTTCCCCTGTATGAATCCTTTTATGTCTCATAAGGGACCCATTTTCACAGAAGCTCTTTCCACACTCCAGGCATTTATACGGCTTCTCCCCTGTATGGATCCTTTTATGGGAAGTAAGATGACTGCTATTAGTAAAGCCCTTTCCACACTCTCTGCACGTATACGGCTTCTCCCCTGTATGGATCCTTTTATGAGAAGTAAAGGAACTCCTTCGACAGAAGCCTTTTCCACATTCAAGACATTTATATGGCTTCTCCCCGGTGTGGATCCAGTTATGGGAAGTTAGTTGACTGCTATTAGTAAAAGATTTTCCACACTTCACACATTTATATGGCTTCTCTCCTGCGTGGATTTTTTTATGAGAAGTATGTTGACTTCTATTAGTAAAGCTCTTTCCACACTCCAAACATTTATATGGCTTCTCCCCTGTGTGGATCCAATTGTGGGAAATAAGTTGACTGCTATTTGTAAAGTTCTTTCCACACTCTGTGCATTCATATGGCTTCTCTCCTGTGTGGATCCTTTTATGAGAAGTAAGATGACTGCTATTGGTAAACCCCTTTCCGCACTCTCTGCATTTGTATGGCTTCTCCCCTGTGTGAATCCTTTTATGGGAAGAAAGATGACTGCTCTGAATAAAGCTCTTTCCACACTCCGCACATTTATATGGCTTCTCCCCTGTGTGAATCCTTTTATGTTTCACAAGCGATGCATTTTCACCAAACCCTTTCCCACACTGTCTGCATTTATATGGCTTCTCCCCTGTATGGATCCATTTATGAGATGTAAGGGAACGGCTCTCACTGAAACTTTTTCCACATTCCATGCACTTATATGGCTTTTCCCCAGTGTGGATCCAGTTATGGGAAGTAACTTGACTGCTTCTTTTGAAGCTCTTTCCACATTCCAAGCATTTATATCGCTTCTCTTCTGCATGGGTCTTTTTACAAGATGTAAGAGACCCATTTTCATGAGGAAGGGTGAAAGCCCAATTGTAATTGTTTCTATTATCTCTGCATATATAATCTTCTCTTTTGGGTTCTGTTGAATTGTGTTCGTTTACTTCTAATTTGTCTTTCAAAAGGTTTACATTTTTCCCAGTATATTTTTTCTTTATTTTTCCTTGTTGAACAAGAAAGTCTTGTATCTGAGTTTCAATGGAATATGAGCTTTCCAGATTCCAATTATTTGTCTGGTTTCTTTCATGACTTTCTATTTCCATTTGAATTTCAGACTTCTGTGTTTCATCTCCAGCATTGAACACTTGGAATGGTTCCTCGGTATCTTTATTCTCTTTGCTGTTATCTTCAAAGGAAAAGAGAAATGAAAATGCTAACTAAGTTAGGGAAAAAGATCAAACTGCAAGAAATCTTATGAATTTCCTAATCATACTTTGACAGGTTCCAATATATTATAGTATGTTTGTTTATAATTATCCATACATATTTAAATATCACCCAGAGTCAACTTTGAATTAAGGAAGAATCACATAAACATCTGAGGAGGTATTAGGAAAAATCTAATAATTATTGGAGGGGTCAATTCCAGAAGCAACTTGTAAGAACTACATCGATTTTGAAACAAGTATTTTTCTTCCCACCCAAACTATCTTCCTTTTACTATTCATTGTTCCCCAAATTAAAGAAACATGGTATTTTAGTGAATTTTAACTTTTAAAAAAGAAGATATTAACCAAAAATATGAAACAAAAAAGTCAAACAGAATTGATGTTAAGAGTTAGGGTATGTTAAGACAGGAGAAATCAAAATTGTTGGAGAATATTCCTGTGACAAAAATGAATGTGTGGCCTAGAATTATGCTTTTGTTTCAAGCAATACATATTTTGACAAGTGATGTAGCATTTAAGCAATGGCAGAACGATAAGTCTAGGTTTGTATGGCAAGGGAAAAGCTACAGACTGAATATCAAATTCTCTAAGACGCAGAAGAAACAGGATTTGGTCTGCCCAATTTGAAACTGCACCTTGTGACCTGCTATTTGGTTTGGATGAAAGATTGGGAATTGCTGAGAAATAAGGTAGTTTTAGAACTAGAAGTGCATGACCTAAAGTTTGGATGGCATGGATTTTTATGTTATGATAAAGTTAGAATTAATCTAGATTTTAAAAACCATGAAGTCAGAAATTTTTAGAATATGGAGCAGATGCAAACCCAGACTGTCTGTAAACACCTTGACAGCTCTGGGCACAGAAGAGAAGCAACAGGCGAAGACAAATGGATATTATGGCAAGAGTGTTAGAACTTCAACAAGGAGAATACCAAATGAAATCAACAGAGTAATTGACAGCAGAAGGATATAGTTGTCAGCTGTTTTCATATTGTCATACTGTCAAAAATTCAAGATAGATAAAAGTACCTACAGTATTCAACAACATAAGAGAATTTGAGTCATAATTATGAAGAATGAACATGTAATCGTTAAAACCTATAAACAGGTTAAAATGTATGATAAAATGGGCAAAGTTTTGTCATAACATATAAATGTAACAATGGGAAAATATGTGGTTGAAAGGAGTGAAATGTAAATTATGTAATAATCTGGCAAGCTAGAAAATTTTGATGTCGAGAATTTTAAAGATCAATACTGAACTGAAATTAGAACACTTTCTATTGGTACTAATAAACCTACAGCTAGAAAACAGAACTATGATAACTGTAGCAACACTATTATATTCATAAAGAGGGAAGGACTCTGAAAAAATTACAATGGAGGAATGATTGAAGATGGCAGAATTAACAGAGATGGCTAAATCGAGTCCTTTGATCTGGGAAAAGACAATATCTACATTTATTAGAGACCAAAAACCTCTGATGGACTTTTAGCTGAAAAAAGATAAAAACTCAGTTTATGATTTATGAGTTTGAAGAGTACAAAGGATAAATTTTGGAAAGATGATGATGTAACCTTAAGCGATAAAGGCTGTAATACAGTATAAAATATTATATAATATATAATAATTGCATTTATAACCACTATTACAAGAAGATTGGAAGCCACTATATTATTACTTTTTCATATTTTTTCCTTTTTTCCTTTCCCCTTCTTTCTTGATATTTTTTCTTATTCACTTATTACTTTATTTTCTTGATTTTTGCTTCAGTATTTGCATTGTTCTTATTCTGATATTTTTAATAAAATTTGAAAAATAAAGAAGTAGCTGACGGCATTTAACTACAGAATGTCTTCCTAAAGACTATATTGGGGAGAAGCAAACACCTTACCCAGAGTTCCTATGATTTTTTTAATTTTATCATACTTCTTTCTTATTCAGTAATTTCATTATTCTATCTCAGGGGTGTCAAACTCGCATCATGTGACATATTATGACTTTTCCCACTAAACTGGGGGTGGGCGTAGTCAACAGGTGGCGTATCTAGCTCATGGGCCACGAGTTTGAAAACCCCCACTCTAACTTCTTTATTTCCTCAAAATTTGTATTGTTTTTATTCTGATAAAATTTCTTGCGTCGTCTTACCCAAAGAGGCCACATTCCTATGGTTTTCCAGCATGACTTCCAAATGGAGCACTTTTTGGTCAGGATCCAACTGAGACCACTCCTCCTTGGAGAAATACACAGCCACCTCCTCAAAGGACACAAGGCCCTCCTGAACAGGATAAAAAAACAGAACAGGTCCAGGAGAATATGCAGCATCTATCCTGTGGTTCACACAAGTTCCCAAAGCAAAGATACGCACTGTTAAATGGCTGTGCTTGGTAGTATTCTAAAGTAGGGTTGGCAAAGAGGACAGGGCCAAAAGGCAGTGACTGAAGAAATACATTGGGCAAGTTTTATCAACTTTTGATAAATTGATTCTGGTACACATTCAGGCCATTCAGTGAAAGTATCACGACTTCCCTTCTGGAACTATCTATTTTCTATCTATATCATCGATAGATCACTGTAACTATCCACCCATTCACCCATCTCACATCAAACATTCTGAGTGTCCAGCGCGACTTGCAGATAGGCCTTGGAAACCCTATCTACCAATCCTTCCTGTGTTGTGTATGTGTGTTAATTCTTTCTAGCATTTCAGCAAAAGGCTTTTGGTGTCAACTTGAATCTTCTATTCTCCTTTCCATGCTGCTTAAGAACAAGAAAATATCCAAGCCAAAACAAGAGGGAATAATAGAAGGAGACAGTGCTGTATACACCAGTATGACTTCCTAAAGGAAAGGGAGGATAGAAATTTAATAAATTATTTTCCTGCTCTTACTTCAGTTGGAGGTTCAACCACTGTTTCAGCTCCACCATAAAGATCAGAAAATTTCATTCTATGTTTCTCTGTGAGGAAGACAGATATTAAAATGCACAATTAACAAAATAGGAGTAGGTACTCTACACAAGAGAAGACTAAAAGAAGATAAGATAGAAAGGATCTCTGTGGGAAATGGGAGACCTTCATTACCTTTTGAGGTATCCTGACTTGGATCTTCCTGAGGGTTCCTCCTGAAAAGCAGCTCCTGATGGGGATTTGATGGATTACTCCTCCCCTCAGGATTTCTGATCTCCACAGAGGACTTGAAATAGGAGGAAGGAGAAAAGAAAAATGAACTGACAGCAAACAACATGAAGTGGATTATTGTTCTCTGAACAAAATATCAAAGCTCCTAATATCCATCAGTGAGGCTGAGGGAGAGCTAGGTACAGTGGCCTAGAGGTGGAGTTCTAGCCTCACAATCAGGAGGCTGTGAATTTGATCCTAGGTAGAGGCTAATATTTGAAATAGACTCTTCTGCTCAAGCAGGGGAGTTGGACTAGATGACCTCCAAGGTCCCTTCCAACTCTGTTATTCTATGATTAGATCGATGTTCTACAAGAATTAATAAAATATCAATATTATTATTATTGTAATAGATCATGGGTGTCAAACTCGCCACATCCCGTTGCTGTCACATGTTTTTCCCCTTTGATTTATGATTTGATTTATAATAGATAGATAGGTAGATAAATTTATTGTCATTGTGCTCAGGAACCTGAGAACAACGAAATAAGGTGCTCTTTCGCAACATACAACTAAACAACACCAAAAGACATATACAAATAACAATATAAAACAAATTAAAACAGATAACAATTAAAAACTGTACAACCAGGATATATATATGTTAAGACCACCAGATTCATAACTCTGCATTTAACCTGATCACAGCACTTGGGTGAAAGCTATGTTGAAATCTACTTGTCCTGGCTTTCAGCACTCTATATCGTCTTACTGATGGTAGGATCTCAAACATCGGGTGGCCTGGATGCGAAGGGTCTCTCAAGATCTTTTGTATCTTCCTTCTACATCCCATGTTGTACAAATCCTCCAATGAGGGAAGAGGACATCCGCTGATCTTTTGTGCCCTTTTTATCACTCTTTGGAGTGCCCTTTTCTCCGCCTCTGTACAACTCCTAAACCACACACAGAGGCAATAAGATAAAATGCTCTCTATAGAGCTTCGATAAAAGGCAAGCAACAGACTCTCTCTTTGCGGAGCTGGGATGGGAAAGGCCTGTGTGTGACGCATCCGGCCTGCACCAGTTTGATACCCATAACAGATTAATCAGCATTCAGTTAGGAGGACAATATGTGTATACATGTTAATACTTTTTTAATGTACTTTTTTCTTTTTAATGTTTTTTTAATTGGTGTTTTGTATTTTAACCTTTTTTTAATAAAATAGAAGTATATTAAAAAAAGAATTAGTAAAATGTCTCCAAGTAGTCTGAATGACAGAGACTTCTGGGAGGGAGGGGTGAAGAATTTAAATCCATTATTTACTCCCTTCTGGAGTAAAGTTCGCTCACCTGCAACTTGACCTGTTCCTTCTGCTTCTCTGCTTGGCTCAGGAGGAGGCCTTCTGCCAGAGCCACCGCCTGGGAGCTGGACTCTGCTCCACACTCTCGCACCCAACTCACCATCTCTGGGGGAAGGAGAACCAGGAGCTGCTCCAGAACAACCAGGTCCAGCATCTGAGCTTTGGTGTGTTTTTCTGGTCTCAGCCATTGTCTACAAAAGTCGTGGAGACGAGTGCAAAGTCCTCGGGGACCCTCAGCCTCCTGGTATTGGAGGCTCCTCAAGTTCCAGGGCTGAATTTTTGAAGAGATGATGGTTTCCTCCTCCAGAATCATCTGCCCAGTTCTTGCCCACATCTCCCCATAGATCCCAAACTGTCCAGCAGAAGAGCCTTTTCCAGTTCTTTCACTTGCTAAAAGTTTTGTCTCCGTTCTGTCTCTCTCCTCTAATGTAACTCCCATTGGGTCCAAGGGATATTGCGGATCTCCAAATGCCTTTTCATTCATAGAACTGATCCTACAGTCACCGGAATGATCGCAGGCGGCCATTCAGCTTTTTTTCTCCAAGAGATAATTTTACCTGCGATGAAGTCCAAAAGGCTTCCAGTTCCTGTACCTGCGATGCAAAAAAATATATATCAAAAAATCAATCCCAAGAATTAGAAAGTTGGAGAATTTAACAATTGAGCAACAGTCATCCCCAGGGAAGAAAGTATTTTTGTAAACTGTTATAGGACTGCAGTGGCATTAAACAGATAGGTCCTCTTTCATGCATATATGTGCATATTTGTGTGAGCATTGTGCATTATTTTTCCTTACAAGAAAGGACTTCCTTTTTAAAACCTAGATCTATATCTACCTCCAAGCAGAGTTCACACAACCTGCCAAACCCCCAAAAGGTGAACAAATCATGGAAGTCCAATTCACAATTTCACATCCAATAAAATGCCAGGAAATGACCCTGGTTGAGGATGCCCCATTTCCCCTTCTTCGGGATTCACACAACCTGAATCAGAACCACAAAGGGGTCATCCCAGTGCAGAGCCGAGATCCTCCCCCCACCCTCAACAGAGCCGGGAAAGAGGCAGCTGGAAGCCGGCCCGCTTCTCTCCCCCTCCGGAGACAGGATCAGGCCCTCGGGGAGCCGGGTGCGAGTCCTGCCTCCTCTTCGCCCGGCTTCTGTACTCTCTTGCTGTGCCTCCGCAAGGCCGACCCTCTCCTTCCCCCACTCGGGCTCTTCCCCGGACACAGGGCGGGAAGGAATCCCCGGATCCCCCTCCCCACTTTCCTGGGATCCCCGGTTGTTCTGCTGCTGCTACTCTGCAGCTCCGCTTCCCCCTGCATGGAGAGGGCGGCTGAGGAGCATGGGATCCGGGATTGACCCTGCAGTAGGGCCGGGCACGGGTCTCTCCCTCCTTCTCCACCCTTTGCCTGGGAAGAGCCCCTCCCCTCACCCGGAGCACGTCTGGATCTGCTCTCTGCTAGACTCTCCCGCAGCCTCTCCGCCTCCTGCGGAGCCACAAGGGTTAAGGAGAGCGAGTGCCAGAGTCTAGAGCGGAAAGCGTTTCTGATGCCATTCCCTTCTCAGCCGTAACCTTCGCCCTCCAGTGGCCCAATGGGGGAAGTCCCTGGTGTTCCCTTCTTTTGGCAGAGGGCGGCCCCTGGTGGATTTTCTTTGTAATGCCAGGAGACCCTGCAAGGGCTGGAAAGAGGACTGGATGGAGGTAGAGGGGAGCAAAGCACATCTTGGCGTGAGGGGAGGGCAGGGACGATGGACATGGGAGTAGAAGAAAGGCCACTCACAAGGATTCTCTGCCTGAGAATTCTCCAGAGGTAGCAGCTTCTCCATCTTCCTCTCCTTCATGTCCAGGAACATCTGTGAAGATGGAGAAAAATCTCTCTGGAGGATCAAAACTCACTTCCCTCAAGAACAGCTACCCACCAAGGCTCAGCAGAGATTGGAGGAGGCCTCAAAAGGGGTCAAATCCTGTCAGAAATGGCAGAAGAAGAGGACCTGAAGCCTTTCTTGGAAACATAGCTTGTGTCTTGTGGTTGTTCCAAATTCTGGCCTGAAATGGAGGAAGATGGGCCTGGAGGGACACAGACAGGGAAGCCACAACCAGAAAAATGAAATTTTATTGGAAACACAGCACCCCTATCTCTTCCCATCCTTTCCACCTGCTTCACAGCACTCAGACTGATGCCGCCCAAGGAGCCAAAACAGTGGAGCTACATGAGGGCCTGCTGCACAGGCTGCAGAGCTCAGGCAGAGGAGAAGGAAGATGGGGGATGGGTAATGGTAGTAGTGGCAGTGGTGTCAGCGTCAGTTCATTGTGGTTTTTCTCAAGCCACACAAATGGGTGAATGCTGCTGAGTTGGAGGGGCTTCAGCTATGTTTTGCTTGGCATTCCTCAGTCTTTTTGGGGGAGTGAGCCTTGGGTGGGGTGACAGGCTGGGATGGGGAAAAGGAGGCTGCCAAGCTTCAAAAGGCGTTCTTGCTGTTGCAACTATGATCACATCTCAGTTGGCCAATGAACTATGGGTAGAGGGAAAGGAGAGATAGAGCATGGGGCCAGACATCAAGATGTCAGCATGAGAACCAAGGAAGGTATTTACCAGAGCAAAAGGAATTTCCCACAATATCCGGAAACTGCATTGGGCAATGTGACCTGATCTAATTGGAAGGAAGGGGAATTTGAACTTTAACTATACAGGTTAGCACGAGAAATATCTAGATCTGATTTTCACTTCAAATGTGCTAAAAGAATGTACTCAATAAAGGTTTGCATGAAGAGATCAGATTGTCTGGACCGTGCTTGCTTTGGTTGGGTTGGTCAATCGGAACCTTGAAAGAGGCATTGACGGCATTGGAAATAGAGCATGGTGAGTGGGGTTGTAGTGAGTCTGCAGTGGTGAACAGCTTGAGGAATGAGGACACCGCATGTGGGAGAAGGGGCGAGCTACAAGGAGACAATCATCTCCCAATGATTGGATGCCACCAGGAGCGCTAGAAGAGTGTGCCCACTTGCGATGGAATGCTGTTGTTGAATCCACATCCCCTTCCTTTCCTCCCTTTACTTTCTGCATGAGGCTTATTTTGTTACTGAATAAATAGGATATTTGAAGTAAGGAGGCTGCTACAAGCACCATTTTGCTTTTGCAGAGGGACAGCAGGAAGATTTTGCACAAGGTCAGCGATGACCCTGCTTAAATTTATTTCCAAATACGCAGAGCCACCAGATGTTTCAAGGGCCTTCTTTAATTGTATTTAAGTGTATCCTCTGCCTGACCCCTACGTAAAACAGATTGTCCCTGTCACAATATTTGAACTTTGAATTCCATTTCCACTGTTTGCCTTTCTTCATTTTACAATTGCATCTTTTTTCCTGTCACAGACTAGACACCATTTTCTCCCTCTTCATTTCTCTACCAGGGAGCCTCTTTCTGAGGTAAAATTTCTGGAACATTCACAAATGTTAGCTTTTTCTTCATTTTGGAACTGATTTTTTTTTATATTCCCCCCCCCCTTCCCACGCCCCCAGCATTATTTTCCTTGTTTCAGACAGCCATTTGGTTTTGCCAATTATTCTTGGCAAGAGAATTTGAGAAGAACTGTATATATTGAACTAAAGAAATAAAAACTGACAGAAATCTCTTATTTTCCTGACAGGAAAATTTTCCTTCCCTCAGGAGGCCCTGTAGCTTTTCTCTGACATGCAACCAATGAGAAGTCTCTTTACTGCTACTCCCATGCCCATCATCCCTGCCCTCCACCTCCCCTCAAGGTGTGCTCTTCTTTCCCGCTCTTGGGGAGGGGGGGGGCGAAATCCTGGGACTTTGCCCAGAATCTTCCAGGGGTTGCCCTCCGCCAAGACAAGGGAATTCTGAGCGCTTCCCCATTAGGCCGTTGGAGAGCGAAGGTCACAAAGGGAGTGACATCACAAACGCTTGTCGCTCTAGGACGACCCACTCGCTCCCCTTAACCCTTGGAGCTCCGCAGGAGAGGCTGCGGGAGAGTCTCCGGACGTGACCCGGGTGAGGGGGAGCTCTTTCTGTGCAAAAAGAGGCGGAGGAGGGGAGACCCGCGCCCGACCCTCCTGCGGGTTCAACCCAGGATCCCATGCTCCCCAGCCGCCCTCTCCATGCAGGGCAAAGCAGCAGCAGAAGAAGAACCGAGGATCTCAGGAAGGCGGTGGAGATCCGGGGTCCCTTCCCGCCCCGTGTCCGGGGAAGAGCCCGAGGGTCGGCCTTGCGGAGGCCCAGCAGGAGAGGAGAGAAGGCGGGTGGAGGAGGCAGGATTCGCACCAGGCTCCCCGAGGGTCCTATCCTGTCTCCTGTGGGGGAGAGAAGCGGGGCGGCCTCTCCAGCTGCCTCCTTCCCTGCGCTTGGGTGAGCCCTTGGGGCTCCGGGCAGGTTGTGCGAATCTGCCTGCGTGTCAGAGGGGGACTCGGCTCTCCAAAGATGAAGAAGGGAAATAGGGCATCGTTAGCCAGGATCATTTCCTGATATTTCATTCAGTGTGAACCGATCTTCCATGCTTTGTTCACCTTTTAAGGGTTTGGCAGGTTGTGTGAATGGGGCTTGGTGGTAAATATAGATCTAGGTTTAAAAAAAGAAACCAGAAGTAGAAACAAGAAAATACATTTATTGGGCAATACAAGTCCTTAATGGAAATCTATACTGCAAACACAAAGCAAGAGAAATTCACACATATACACAAACACACAAAGTCACTTCAAACCTACACCAGATCAGAAAAATACTTCATTCCTCGCTCATGAGTGTTGCTCAATAGTTAAATCTACATTTTCTAATTCCTGGAATTAATTTTCTTTTCCATCTCAGATACACATTTTAACTTCTTGGAGTATAAAATCACCTCTTGGGGGGAAAAAGTGGATGCAGGATTGGTCCTATGAATGAAAAAGCATTTGGAGTTCCACAAGAGTCCTTGGACCCATTTGGAGTTGCATTTCAGGACAGAAGGAATGGAGACACAACTTTTAGCAAGTCAGGGAACTGGAAAAGGCCCTGGGAGCTGTGGGGAGATCTGGGAAAGAATGGGGCAGAAGATCCTCGAGGAGAAAAACATCATCAGTTCAGAAGTTCAGCCCTGGAACTTCAGGAGCCTCCAATACCAGGAGGCTGAGGGTCCCCGAGAACTTTGCAGCCGACTCCACAACTTTTGTAGGCGATGGCTGAGACCAGAAAAGCACACCAAAGCCCAGATGCTGGACCTGGTTGTTCTGGAGCAGCTCCTGGCTCTCCTTCCCCCAGAGATGGAGAGCTGGGTGTGGGAATGTGGAGCAAAGACCAGCTCTCAGGCCGTGGCCCTGGCGGAAGGCTTCCTCCTGAGCCAGGTGGAGGAGCAGAAGGAGCAGGAAAAGTTGCAGGTGAGAGACTTTCATCTAGGCAGGCCAGGAGCTGTTTGAAGGGACTAAAGTATGTGTTGAATTTTTCAACCTTCCTTACCACACTTTTCTTGGCTTTCACAATACATGGGTTTGTTTCATCAAATTTTTTAGATATCGATCCATTATCCATTTTGGAAGTTATATTTGGCACCATTGTTCCTTTCTTTCCAGCACCATTGATGTAACTGAGGGCTTTGAAGTTATGTTTGGAGAAAAAGAATCTACTTCGAGTTGTTTGATGACTATTCTATTTTTTTCTCCTGCCTTCTAAGTCCTTCAATATGGAGATCAGAGATCCTGAGGGAAGGAGGAATCCATCAAATCCCTTTCAGGAGCTGTTTTCCAGGAGGATTCCTCAGGAAGATCCAAATCAGGACACCTCAGAAGGTAAACTAAGGTCCTCCCATTCACCAGAGAAATTCTCTTTCTCATCTTATTTATGTTTCTGTCCGATAGAATACTTCTTCTTGTTTCTTTAATTATGCATTTTAAAATTCTGTCTTCCTCACAGTGAAACATAGAATGATGTGTGGTCTTTATGGTAGTGGTGAAACAGCAGATGAAACAGCTGAAACTCAAGTAAGAGTGGGAAATTTATTTCATAAGATTTATATCCTCCC